TAAATTCTTCTACCTCTGGTTATTCTACCAAATCTGCTTTGTATAGTTCTGTGCAATAAGATATCAATAAATTATACATTATAAAAACTTGCATTTTAATGAACCTTTTCATTTGAAGGATTTGAAAAATAAGTGACTCTTATTCTATAGAATCAGTACACAATTTTATTTTCATATATGATGAATTTAAAGTCTCAAAATTGAAATTCTCAAAGTGAAAGGACTCTTAATTTTGTATTTTGTTGTAAAAATTATGACAATGAAAGACATGGTTTTGTGTCCAACTTAGAAACGACCCCAAAAAGATAAGCGTTTGCTATACCTCAAAAGGGAAGGTAGAAAAACACATTAAAAAATATATAATTTATAGCTTTCAAAAAGAAAATATTCCATAAGTATAATAACCGCAATAATTGAATTAACAAATGTCAATATATTAGATCCAAAATCCATATTTATGATAGATTTTTAAAAGGGCCCGCACGAATCTATAGGCGAGTTATAGCCTAATCTTAATTTTATTATAGACTTTGTGTCCAATCAATGACATATTTTTACCATTCAATCTCAAATCTAACGGTCAATGATGATTGCGCCCTCTAAATATAAAAAATAAGTAATATCATACATTTCCTATAAAATAAGTCATGTCTCCCCTCTTAAAGCCCATCTCCCATTTTGTCTCATCCTCAAAAACCCACTATTATCTCCCTCTCTAAAACCCATCATTGAAATCTCCCAAAATCTTATTCACCCAAAAATAAATCACCCAAAACCGCTTTAGCCCCTGAACAGTTATCATTTAATGTCTCTTTTATAAAAGGATTAGCATTTACTTTCATTTCTATTTAGAGTAATCAGCTCATAATGAACATCTATTTATCCAATTAAATTTTAAATAGTATCTTGACAATCCAAGATTCCTCAACGAACCTCCCGTGATGATGTCATATGTCGTCTTAAGCAGAGGCATCGGACAGACTGCAGCCTTTTTATTAAACATTTTTTTTTTTTTAAATCAATGAGGGAGAAGAACCTCAACCTATTTTTTTCATTAATAGAGAGAAAAAAAATTACATCATTTTGTTTTACAACCTTACAATAAGGTGATTGCGCCACATGAAGTAACGGAAGGTTAAAAAATCTAGAGGCCTGGTTAAAGTAAGTACTTAAGTTAAATATGGAGGCCTGGTTAGGGTAATTCAACTCTCTATTGATATCATTGAATCTCTATTTTCTCCCCTCAATTAGGGCTAGTACCTTAAGTTAGTATTGAGCCTGAAGGGTTCTCTTGCTTGTTTTGCTATGTTTTCTTTATTAGTTTCTCTCTAGAGCTAAAGCTTTTTTAAGTTTTCCTCATTAGTTTCTCTCTCTAAAGCCACAGCAAAAGACAAAACTTGGATTGGTTTTTCTCTCTAATGCCTAAGTCAAAAAGTAGAGAAGAAGAATTGTTTCCAAGTATGGCATTTGTTTATTGCTTTTGTTTCTTTTTGTTTTGTTTTTTATTTTTTTGCTTTTATTTATAAATACAATTTTATTATTTCTCTTCTATGTTTTGTAGATAAAAGAAGAGAGAAAATTGGAAATTCATGCAGAGAGATCATGGTTCATGGGGTTAGCGCTCCTAATTCATTGTGCAATGGTGAAGAAACTAAGGCTAATGAGGTTGTTATTCAAGAAGAAGATGAGGAAATGAAATCAAAATTAGATGAACTGTTCAAGGATGTGAGTAAATTTTATTTATTTTTTCCTCTTTTTCCATTGACTTATTTATTTATTTGTTTTTATTTTAATATTTTTTTATTGACTTCTTTTCTAAGGTTTATGATATGTATGTATAAGTTCTTCCTTTAATTCTTCTGTTTAATTTTTTGTTTAAGTGATTATTTATTATTGAGGTTGGTGATCCGGCAGAAAGCTTTGTTTGCTACCCTTCTTTGGTAAAACCACATCTATTGCTAAAGTCTATGTGCATGTTTTGTTTGCTCTTTTTTTGGTGCATGTGCGCATGATTTTACTCTTCTGGCAATCTAGTGTACGTTTTTTCATTTGTATGATCTGATGGTGACATGTAGGGTTGGCAATCGGTCGGACCTCGATATAGTCGGATTCAAGCAGCTCGTAACATCTGGCTACATGTAGGGTTAGCAATCGGTTTTTTCTTTTCTTTTAGATTTGTCGACATGTAGGATTGGCAATTGGCTGGGCCTTGCCGCAACCGGGTTACGCACCACACTTTAATGTCCCCCGGCTTTAATGTCATTTTAAGGCCGGGTTTAGAACACACTTTAATGCCCCGGGCTTTAATTCTTACAGCAAATTTGGGCCCGGGCCAGTCTTTACCTGGCCCCAATGTACATAGATATGCATGTAGGTAATATGCATATGCATGTTGCTTGGATGCATGTAGCTTGGAAGGGAGTATAGGTTAATGAATTTGATTTTCTTTCACAATTTTTTTAGATGAAACTTTGAAGTGGAGATACGCCTCAGTGAGGCATACCTGAAAATATATATGATAAAAATGTATGAAGGTTTTGAAAGTATTTTAATCAATTTACATATATATATTGAATTATTTGTCTTAGATGCATCTAGGAGGGAGTGGAAGCCCCTGTGTAAAACAAATTTGTGAGAAAATAAAAATAAAATACAAACGAAAAATGGTAGTCTCCCCTTTTTATCTTTCTAATATCTCGAGTTTAAGGTGTACATGGGGGTGTTTAATATTAATTTTCATGTACTAATTTTCATGTACTATGGAAATTGATGTTAAAATGCGACTATACAATAGTATAAAAAGGAAAAACATGAGCTTGTAGGTAAATGAATTTTAGTTTTTTCTTTCGTAAAATCTCTTTCCATGAGATTTTGAGGTTACCGAATATCCAGGGTGTGTAGTGACTAGTGAGTAGTGACTAAGTGAGGCACACCTTGAAAAAAAAAAAAAAAGCATAATTTGACAAACTGAATATTGACTGAAATACCCTTTAATGTTTTTGGCATTTTGTTCAATTTATTTTCTAATTTGAATTTTACATATTTTTTGGGTGCATCTCAACGAGAAGAGTGGTCTCCCTAATGTCATGGGAAACAAATTTGTTAAAAAATAAAATAAAATTTTTAATTTGAATTTTACTTATATTTTGGTTGCATCTCAACTAGAAGAGTGGTCTTCCTAAATGTCATGGGAAATATATTTGTAAAAAATAAAATAAAATTAAAAAGGTAAGTTTTCTATGCTTTCCCTATAGCATAGAAGTTCTATCCTCCCTTTTATCCAATCATCCATTCTGAATGGAGGGCTAGATTGTCCCAATCACAATGTCATGTCTCTACACTATTATATTTTTAATTTTTTTTCTATAAACTATTTTGACACCAAATTT